GGTATCGTATTTAAAAGTAATGGGCCATTAGAGACCTTTAGCATCGTGTTTAACGCTAACGTAACCGCTAGGGAACATGCCAAGAAACGCGCCCATTGCGGCTCTTCCAGCAACAACTTCGTTACTTTCGTACGTTATATTACGCCTTGCTAGGTGTCAAAAGTTTAACGGACTGCAGTTTGAGGTTTGCGGTACCTAGCAAGAACGTTGTGCTGAAGGTCTCTATTAGCTGTTTGCGTACGCAGGGCAAAATATAACTTACAAATTACGAAATATTCTAACGATCTTTAGGTAATTYGTTTTTCTTTGTAGCCACAATGAAATAAAATCAAGAGATGTCTTGATAATAACTTCTTGTAATTGCCTACCTCTATACTTCGTTAACCAAAATTAATTTCCATTTGCGTCACTTAAAAATTCAACACTTTTGCTCAGCCTCAGAGCTCAAATATAATGGATTTAAAACGTCTTAAAATTAATAAAAATGTCCGATTTATAATTTAGTAAAGCAGCAAATAATAATGCTGGTTTGGAATAATAAGAGAAAAAACATTTGAAATGATAGAAAAAGAGAGGAAGAAAGGAAGAAAGGAAGAAAGGAAGAAAGGAAGAAAGGAAGAAAGGAAGGAAATAATTAAGTAAGGAAGAAAAAATGAGACAACTTAAAATTTAAATGTTTACACATGTACAAATCTATATACCTGGTACATATGTATAACGATCAATATAAATGAGTATATACTGCATAAAAATGTAAGCACGCTCCAGTGGCACAGAAAACGTGCCATATTGCATGCGCAAATGTTATTTTTCCATCTGATTTAAAGAAGTACACTCCCCCGATGTARAACGCTCCACCCAGTGCTACTTCTATTAGTCCAGCAGTGTCAGACTGTAGAAAAAATAGGTAGGTCAGAAAAGATGTGAGTCACCAGACAATAAACACACATACACTCTCTTGCTCTCTCATGCTTACTGGCTTAGGTGGGTGTATATCATCTTTCTTTATTTTTGAAAAAGATGTGGGGTAAGGCTGCTTTCATAATGTATGGCAGAGGGGGGGGGCAGGTGAAATCTTTAAATGACAAAAATATTCTTAAGATCCCCGCTTGAAGTCCCCCCAAAAATAACTATCCCCCCAGGCAATCTCTTGTAGCTTCTTCTAAAAATTTTGCATCCCCACACTTCTCTGAAAGAAATTTTCAAACCCCATTCATTTTACTGGTAAAAAATTTTCTGATCCCCCCTAAATTTCACCTGCCCCCCCCCCGCCATATATTATGAACGTAGCCTAATCTTTTGGTTTCAATTCAAGCAAATTAATAATTATATTCAAGAGCGTGAGGATGTAATAATGCAATTAATACACACCGCTTGGAAGATGAGAGGCAAGGAAGGAAGGACTCCAAACATAAGATAAAATACTGTCTCTAAAGTCTTGTATCTAGAACAAAGAATAAAATCGGATCACTATGCATATGATCACGGGTGGATCTAGCAAAAAATATAGGGGGGGGCTTTACCGAATTTTGCTCTTTAAATCCATTCCTTTGATCAAATAAAACTATATATGGCTAAAGGGGGACTACAGCCCCACCCTCCCCTCCCTGGGTCCACCCCTGATGATACATGATGTCTAAGCTTTTACAAGTATGGGTGAATGTATTAATCTGGTCAATGAAGTTGGGTGGCATAGAGGCGTTACTTACTTCTCATGGAATATGCAATTGTAAAGTGTTCCCATGATGGCTCCTATCCACAGCAGCCAGGAGAGTCTGTCCCCCCAGATTCCTACATCCCGCAGGACCAGCCTAGTGTATAGTCATCAATATTGATTAGTATCACAACACAAGTGTATACTACCTCTTTGAAAAGATATCTTTATTATTATCACAGCCACAAACACTAACCATCATCATTATCATCATCATTTTTACTAGAATATTCATCTATCATCATCACCTTCATTGCTCATAAATGCCACCACCAA